ACTGCGTGTATGATGTTTCTGAAATGAGCAAGTAACAGTAGCTTCATATAATGTAAATTGTTGTCCAGAATTCGGACTCCAAAATTTCACATCTTCTGCACCCCTAGGCAAGACGCGTTCGAATCGTGGTTTATTTCCAATGTATTTGCTCTGGCAGAACAAGTGGACTGGATTTTGCAATTTGGAGCTATAAATTCCGTCTCATTTGAAAAAACAGGTCTGTGCATAGGGAAACTAATGGCACATACGTTGTTTTTAAACCGGGCAAGAATTTATAGTTCCAAATTGCAAAATCCAGTCCAAGTGTAAATAGTAAAACTCTTCACCTCGGTATGTCATTTTCATAGTGGATTCTCCTTTCACCTAACGGGCATCCGCGCGCATTCACGGTGCACCACAACAACCTTGTCGGTGGCCGATGCATCGGGAGCAAAGTAGGTCTGCCAACATGGACAATGAGTGCAAATTTAAAATTTAATGCGTTTCTCATTTCTCAACTCCGCTACAAAGAGATCGGCACTGCGAAACTGCAATTTCTCCCGCTGACACGATGCTGTAATGATCCACGCATTACCGACTGCATTTGTTGCCAGTTTTCTGCACCTATTCACGGACAACTGAGAGGAAATTGCTCAAAGACTGATCCACAGTAGCAGTGCGTGTATAGAGCAAGGAAGGGCAGCGGCAGCCCCCCTTACCAAAGTTCTGGGGATTTTTTTTTTTTTTTTTTTTTTTTTTTTTTTTTGTGATATTTGACCGTCAAAACAAACGAAAATTCCAGGGGTACCTATTTTTATAAATGTTTCCTGTAGAGGACCCCTTTTGCTCGGGGAAAAAACCCCAGACTCCCCTCTCGTTTTTTTCAAATTTCTACATTTCAATTTCTAATTTTCTGGAAAACTCGTGACTATTTTTCCTCCAGTTTTTCAGGGAAATTCATTCTCAGTTCGATCTAAAATACGTGAAAATTTCAATGTGAAATATCGACAACTTTTCTCAAAAATTAACGTTTACTCAGCAGAGCTTTAGCAACATCCAAATGTTTGTACGGTGTTCTTCCTTGGCATGACTGTATAGCGAACAGATTCCGAATCTGCCGACCTTGGATAAATGGCCACGATGATTTCGGACGATGTAAACAAAGTTTTGCGAAAACTACCGTAACTAACAATAAGTGAGGATATCGTAAAGTAATTAATGGACGGGGCTGATTGCGAATTCAGGCATGGCTTCGCCACCTCATGCCGCACAGTAGATCGAGTCAATTAGAGAGGTCGGACATGAAATTTTTGACTGAAACTACAAATTTTGATGTTTTTTCGTCACATTTTAAATTATAAAGGGTGCTGCTAGAAGAAAATTTCACGAGGAATCCAATGGAACCACTTTTAAAACTTCAAAGTTTTGTATAAACAAAGTTATAAGCGTTTAAAGTTTCCAAATTTCGTCCGACCTCTCCTATTGACTCGATCCACTGTGCGCCGGCCGGTCTGCGCCCGGAGGAACTTGGAGATACCTTTCCATTGCACAGATATCCACATGACAGAAACGCAAACTTGACGCCTGAATAAACAAGATAGCCCCTGAGTATCACGCATTCCAGTCGGACTATCGAGTTTATATTGCGCGAAAAACAGTCAGGTACAAACGCTAGATGTATTTTATCTGCATTGAATTGCTCTTTCATCTTCAGTAAATATGACCGCATTTTCAGTTCTTTGCTTGGACTTTAAACACGTAACGTTTGCTGATGGGTGTACGGTTTTCAGAGTTGTTTCATAGAGAGAAGACTTTTTATTGGGAAAACCGGGTTGATCATGTAAAATAGATACAATCTTTCTGTAGAAATGAGTGTATATGATCGATTTTTTTTTTAAACTAAGGTCACTTTTTTATACAAGCTGTAGGTCAAGTAATAAAATTTTTTCAAAATTTTAATACTTGATGATCGACTAAGTTGGACTCCGGAACTCTGAAAATCGTATCTTCAGCCATGCGTTTTGAGAAATTCTGTGTCTTTTTATCGTAAAAATCTTAACGGTAGTGAATCTTGGCGTTAGAATCGTGATATACCATCTAAAGTCTGTGTCGCGCTCAGGTCAGGCCGCGAGGTTAAAATTTTAGACAGGAGTTGCAATACCTTTCATTTACAGCCTTGAGTCAATACAGCGACTTTTTAGCCCAGTTTCATGAAGGATTTATCGCGTCTTGCGGCAACTGAAAAATTTCTCTTTTTTTATCGAGTTAATAGAATATCTTCAGAAAATGGACCTCCTGAGAGTGATGTAGCCCGCTAACCAGAGGCGATGAGGCGAATGGTCGATTATCGATATTTCCCCATTTGTAGCTGTGGTAAATAATCGATTCCTTGTTTATCGATATTTTTCCATAGGTTTAAATAACCGATCAATCGATGTATCTCAAAGCACGCCACGCCACTGGAATTAAAATAACTGATCGATCAGAAAACCCCCTTTCCACTGAAAATCTGTGCATATTTTTGTATACTTTTTCACCACTATCTCGCCTCTAAGATCCCAGCTATCCGCAAATCGCGTCAAACTGTAGGAGCACCATACATCGCGCAGCAGCAGAAAATCACCCCAAAATTAAGTCTTCGGGATGATTTGGGAAAATGTTGACTATCCGCGTACATTTGAAAGAAAATGAAGCTTTTGTGTGCTTTTTCACCCTTTTTAAATGCTTTCAAAGCTCAAGAGACTGTGCAGTCAGTTTTCAGGTGACTGCATGCAGCTCTTGATTTGCAGACTACAAATCGACGGTGTAAGTCCGCAACCACGTATCTCTTTGCGACGTCGTAGACTTCCTGTCATACCTTTTTTTTTAATGGAAAACTACTCAACGACAATTCTTAAAAATTGCCAGGATTTTTCTTCCCTGCGCGAAGAAAATTCTGCGAATATTTCAGGGAATCATGTCGATTTATTTTCCTTTGGAAAAATTAAATAGAAGCAGAGAGTTTCACTTGCCGAAAACGAGATGCGTAGTTGCGGACTTACACCATCGAAATATATTGCAGATCTCGATATACACTGAAAAAAATATCTCGGTGTATTTACCAAGAAAAGGGTAAAATTACCAAGAATTCAGGGTTCTATTTGATCCCAGTTTTTTCTTGGTTAAATTAACATTTATGGAATTGGTAATTTTACCGAGAAATCTCGGTAATTTTACTGGACCTTGGTAAAAACGCCAATATTGTTTATCGACCGTGGTAGAATTACCGAGATAAAATGGCAATGTTGCCGGGAATTGATTACCAATAAAAGTGGTATTCTTACCTGAAAAAAAAAACAGTAAAAATACCGGTTTTTTGGTAAGCTTACCAGTCTGTATTGGTAAAAAAACCAATAATAGGTAAAAAGAGTGAAATGGTAAAGGTACCAACGAACCTTGGTAAAAACGCCGAGAATTTTTTTTTCAGTGTAATGCGGGCTCCTGCGAATACTGGGGGAGAATGAAACGGCAAACACAAGGTGCTTAAGTGCAGTTTTTCTTATTTCGAGAAATACGAGTTTGAAGTTTCGAGATTACATAGATCCTTATGGCGGAAAGAAAGTTCAAATTGACTTTTAGATGCTTAAAAATTGGAATTTGGGAGCGCATCAAGACTAGTTTTACTTGAAATCATTCCTGTCTCAATTTTTTTCAAAAACTGCTCTCATGCGTCTCGTCCGCCAAGCCCTTCAATTGACTTTAAAGTGACTCTTATTCGCTCTAAATTTCGTGATTTGCCTCTTAGTTGTTGTTTCATTTGACTCAATTTACGAGTAAATCGGCTCGACTTATCTTCAATGGAGAATTTGCTCGCAATTTTTTTTATTTTTTCATCTAAGAGAGCTTGAAGAGCTGATTTCGCAATATCAAATTATTTTCGCATAATTTTTTCTAATGTGGGAAATGGTATTAAAATAGATTTAAAAGTAGGAAAATGCACCGCCTAGTGATGTCATCTGACGGCATTTCTCATTTTGCAGTATTTTTTTTTCATTTGTATATTTTTGCAGATTTGGTAATTTCATCATATCTCCTCCATTAATTGCTCAATTTATGAAGTATTCTCGTGTTCAGTTCACTCAGTTTTTCCCACTTAGAAACGAAATCCACCAGATTTCGGGCACCTGCAAATTACCCATTTATTATTTTTAAGAGTACAGAAGCGAGGCTGCACTGAGAAAAAAAACACATTGGATCTAAGGTCCAGACTCTTGAAAACATCGACAAGAAACAATACTCTTGATTCAATCGGATTTTTGCTTAAATCAAGAACGAAACCTCTTAATTTGAGCGGATTTCCTTTTGATTTAAGCACAAATCTGATTGAATCAAGAGTATTTTTTCTTGACAATGTTTTCAGGAGTCTGGCGACTCTAGATCCAATGTGTTTTTTTTCCAGTGCGCCTAGTGACGTCATCTGAAGGCATTTCTCATTTAAACGCGTGTATATTTGCAGATGTGGTAATTTTATCATAGCTCCTCCATTAATTGCCCAATTTATGAAACAAGGGTAATCTCGTGTTCGGTTCACTCAGTTTTTCCCACTTAGAAACGAATTCCACCAGATTTCGGACACCTGCAAATTCTCCATTTATTATTTTCAAGAGTAGACTGGAAAAAAAAAACACATTAGATCTAGAGTCCAGACTCTTGAAAACATTGACAAGAGAAAATACTCTTGATTCAATCAGATTTTTGCTTAAATCAAAAGGAAATCCGCTCAAATTAAGAGGCTTGGTTCTTGATTTAAGCAAAAATCCGATTGAATCAAGAGTATTTTTCTTGTCGATGTTTTTAAGAGTCTGGACTCTAGATCCAATGTGTTTTTTTTTTCCAGTGAAGGGTATTCTCGTATTCAGTTCACTCAGTTTTTCCCACTTAGAAACGAATTCCACCAGATTTCGGACACCTGCAAATTCTCCATTCATTATTTTCAAGAGTGCAGAAGCGAGGCTGATGGGACGTCGAAGAGTGGAGCTTACCTGGAATACAGCTGATTGATGAAGTAGGGGTGTCCGATTTTGACGCTGTACTTGATGGTATCCTTAATGAGAGCCAGGAGCCTCTGGTGAGACTCGGGGGTTTTCCTCAGGTCGAAGTCGAAGATCCGCTCCAGCTCCTCCGGGTGGCGCCATTCGAGGACGCGGTTCTCCCGTCGGGTGGACTCGAAGACCCCTTTCTCGATGAGGATCTCGACCGCCTCGCGGATGAAGCCCTCCTGCGACGCGTCGACGAGACTCCGGAACTTCTCTTCCGTTTCCGGCTCGCGCTGCCACCCGTTGCTCGACTTCCGCCTCTCCGCTTCCGGCTCCTTCTTCAAGCCGTTGCCGTTGCTGAACACCGGGAGTTTTCTGAGCGGCAGGAACCGGGACTCGCTCTCCGGCTCCGTGTCGGAGCCGGAGGTCAGGGGGGACGCGCTGAGGCTGGGGGACACTTCCGTGGCGGGCATCTTCGGGGTCGGGGGTCGTGGTTTACTCGGTCGAGGGAAAACGGTGACTGCTCATCCGCCTACCGGATCACCTGAAACGCGGCGGCGCACACTCGGATTGGGACTGGCCCTCCTGCTCGCCGCGCGGGTCCTCTTATAATCTCCGGTCGGATCTCGGCCTGGACGCTCGTCGTCTCGTCGCGGGCGGGGGAGGCGGGGCGTCGCGTCGAGGCGTCGGGGGAAATTCGACGGCGGCGTCGCCTTGTAGCTGTGTGTGTCCGCGCCTAATTTCCTTCAACTGACCGCGCGCGCACGCCGCAACTTGGTCGTCGGGACAATTGTCCGGTCCTCGTCAGCGGATGACAGCCCGACTCCATCGGAAAGTCCCCGGGTGGCCGTCTGTCCGTCGCTCCTTGCCCGCTCATCAAATTGCAGCGCCTGCACAGAGCCAAACAGTCTCGACTCAACACGATATTTAGAGTTTCGTTTTCATAATTGGACCAGGGTGTCTACAAGTCCGGAATTTCCGAAGAGTCCGGAAAAAGCACCGATTTTTTTAAAGGCGGTCCGGAAGTATTGAAAAAGTGCGGAAATTCCGCTGGAAGGCCCGGAATTTTTGTCATTATTGTCGCAATTTTAGCGAGAAATTTGAACTTTTCGAATTTCGTCAAATGAAGGCACTGAAAAAGTACTGCATTTTTCTGTTGAGGAGGTACTGAATTTTTCGGGAGTGTACTGAAAAAGTACTGTAAAAGTACTGATTTTTGACCAGCTTGTTTTAGTAGACACCCTTTTGGACTCGGTCAGAGCACTTTTAAGGTTGCCCTGAATTGACGTCAGAACTTAGATGGAGGGGGAGGGGGGGCTGAAAGTTTTTCTGAAAGATCATAATCGGCTTGGTAAACATCTGAGGCTAGACTTTCGAAATTGATGCCGTCTAGTTGCTGCTAGTTTTTATTTCTTTTGTATTTTATTCACTTGATTTTTTTTTTATTTTTGATTTTATTTTTTTGGTCTTAGATTGGTTTATTTTCTTTAGGTATAACAGTATGAGAGAACTTATTACTTTTTCGCTCCCATTTTCCACTATATATTTGGTGATGCATTGAATATAGTAAACGTGCCATCAAAGGGACAGTATTTTCTTAAATTCTCCTCCAGATCTTCAGGTAACCGCAAGCGCCCCCCCCCCCCACCCTTCCTCCTTAAAAATTAACCTCCATGAAAAAAGGTACTCATTGTTCCTTTTTTGCACCCAACCATCACTAAACATTCGCTCACCTCGCATATTCGTGTGCGTTAGCTCGAATCTTTTTTCTGCCTCGCGTTTAAATCGCTGTCTGCTACAACAATTTCTCGAATCTTCAAGCGTTCTTAGTACTGGATGACAAGAATTCCTTGATGCAATTGTACCATCAGCTCACACCGACCTTCGGGAATCAAGTGCGGTTTTCCCGCTACTCGTCACTTATGAATCAGTAGAACAACTAAAATCTTCCTCTCCTTGCTGAAATGTAGGAATTTTCAAACAAAATTAGAAAAATAGTAGTAGCTCTTGTAATTTAATGTTTTTAAGTTTTAGCTGTAAGGGTGCCGAAATCTGAATAAAGAAAGGAGGGAAATTTACAGATTAAGGAAGATTAAGAAAGTTTACAGATGAAGCTTGTAGCGGATATGCCTTTTCTGCAAAAGACACTTTCATAAAAAATAAGCTGATGCTCCTTGTATAACATGGTAAAAACGTGAAATCTTAATTTTGACCATTTTTCTGAAATCTTGAGTTCGAAATAAGCACCCTATTAAATAAGTTGTTAAGAAAAAATGTTACCAACGTTACAATGTCCCTATTGTCCCTCTGGCTCTCGCCCCTTTCACCAACCAGGGATGATGGTTTTTATCAGTGAAAGAACTTTTTTAAGTGAACGAGCCAGTGGTATAGATCGGAGCTTGTCATCTTAAAGATGTCTCTAACTCACAATGATGGTTCTTTTCTAAATTTTTTGCTCAAAACCACTTCAAATTTGGGTAGAAAGTGGGCAGGAAATGGATCAAGAATCATTGGTCCATAAGAAATACATGAGAAAAAGACGACAACTTCAAATGAAGATCTCTCTCTTGAAACGCAAAATTCTCCGGGTGGATGACTTTTTCTTGATCCTCAGATATCCAACTTCAATTCTACGAAAAAGATATTGCGACTTTTTGCGACTAGCAGAGATATTTGACGGTAAAGTTTGGGTGTTTCACGTTGCTTTTACATTGTTGACCTAGGGCTGATTCGAGGTTACCAACTTCAAATGAACTTTTCTCGAAAAATACGCGAAAAATCCTGAGATGTAAAATTTTCTTATTCCTCGAGTGTTTCACTTTGATAGTGCCCACGGTTTTTCCTATGTCGGTGCCACTATCTTTATTATTCAAAGTTAAGTGTAGTCTTTTACCGATTTTTGTCCGCATCGTCCACAAGGATGCCGCACTGTGCGCACTGTGTGGCTCTTGAGTCATTGGCCGTTCAACCGCGGCGCAGTGGTCGCGGTCAGCTGACCGGCCTTTACGCCAAAGTCTTTTGACTTCTTCTCAATGCCATAAAGACATTAGTCACTCGGGTAGATAGGAATGTGCTCAAAATGATGGATCGTACTCAGCAACGAATCGATCGATCTGTCATTTAGACCTATGGAAAAGGATCGATTATCAGGGTATGCCTTAACTATCGATTCTTTACCATAACATCAAATGGGGGAATATCGATCGTCGATGAATCACGACTCATCGCTGGAGAGCGCTCAGCCGCAGTCGCTCCTTGAAAAATCCATCCTCGACAGAGTATGACATTTAATACGAGCAGTCTGCAGGCAGGAATGCCTTTTGTTCATACTTTGTTGCATCTAAGTTCAGAACTCGACCAACATCATCTTTTTCCAATGGACCGCTTTGAAGTGGGTTAATCGCATTTCTCACATCTAATGGAGATGTTGCATGTGTGAGGAATTTGCGATTTGACTATCGATTCTTATGTTGAAGTTCGCGCGAAACACGACGGTGCCACTGGTTTTCTCTGAAATCAACTCCCAAGCTCAAAAAAAGCTCTCAAGTTGAGGCCAAATGGAGGGGATATCCCACGCTATCCTGAGAGTCCATCTCTACATCAAAACAAACTTTCCATGCAAAGATATGGAGCAAATACATTAGCAGGGTTGCCGTGTTTTCAGTTTTGGAGTCCCCGAATAAAGTGGCAGCCCTGTCAATGCAGTTGCTCCCTATCTTTGCATGGAGAGTTTGTCTTGATGTAGACACGTAGATGATGGACTTTAGTCCACGAAAATACAGAAGAGCTGTTGATACTAGAGTATTTGAGGCTCTGCGAGAGTTTATGGACAAAAATGCCAGAATAAGTCGGAGCTATACGGCGGTTCGAAGTTCAAAGTTCAAAAAACTTAGTTTCGAGAAAAAGTTTTTCAGCTCGGAGCTTCCTTTTTTTGCAGACACTGGAGAGCTTTCCGTAAAACTCTCTGGATCCAATTTTCCGACGCTACTTGGCGAGAATTGCTCTACTGAGAAATGTGCCTTTGCAGATTACTTTAAGTCCTTTTTCCTATATGAATGGTCATCTAAGCATAAAATGCAGGGGGATAGTAACTAATACCATAAATAGTTGTCAAGGTCATAGGAGGGGGGCTCTTATCCGAGAAAAATGTTGAGCCAAGGGTGACAAATCGTTATCTTTACCATAATTTCATCTTTCATTTTACTTCGTAATTCTCAGTTCTCGAGCGTGGAACCTGTATCATTCTTTGTGATTAAAGACTGTGGCACTTGTAGGCCGATTACTGAAATTGACAGACAAAACTATAGACACAGACGACAAAAGGAATATGGAGGGATCCTATTGGTGGAAGCGGGTGGTTGCAACAAGAGTCCCTGTAGTTAGTTCATCATTTGCTCCCTTAGTCTATAGGAACCACTCGTTACAACCAATAGGACCGCTCCATAATCCCTGTCTTCTTTGTCTAACGCTTTGTCCATCAATTTCATTAATCAACCGGCTTGACTTGCTGGAATCTGACGAGTCGAAGGAAAATTTTACGTTAATAGCAGGTTTCCGTTATGAGCAGGTTAGTGTGCATGAATTTGCCACATCAAATCAAGGAAACTCTGGACAAAATGTCCGATAAGGACGGTTTTCCTTTATGAGCTGAGCATATCAGTATGCGTGAAGTCGTCGTATTCGATGTAAGGAAAACCTGGAAGAATTTATTGCCATGCCGTTGGGAGCAGTTTCCCGATATGAGCAAGTTTCTTTGAGACCAAATCCCACTGTATGCACACAATCCGTATGAATGGTGCGACACTGTGAGAGTAATTGGGTTTACTTCGATCGATGTACGAAAGTAAAGTTACGTAATTTTTCCGAGTGGGCACCTGCTTCTTCGCTGAAGGCAATGTTTATCAAAGTTGAACAAACGGCTAGATAGTTTGACAATGATCTCAAAATATTTACATGCAGTCAAGACGAGGGGCGTCAAATCTGGTGATTATAGCGTTTAGTCCATTGCCGATTGAGCAGGAGGGATTCCAGGATAAAAAAAGAGAACGAGAACAGAATTATCTTTTCATTTGTTTACTCTTTGGCAAATGTAGTTGGCGAAACCCGTTAAAAGAGATATTCTTTGTTAGAGGTCTTTTCCAGAATTTTCCAGTATCGTTCACTGTACCAATGAAAGATACCAAAAAGGATTAGAATTTTGAAAAACTTTTTCTCGAAATTAAGTTTTTTGAACTTTGAACTTCGAACCGCCATATAGCTCCGACTTATTCTGGCATTTTTGTCCATAAACTCTCGCAGAGCCTCAAATACTCTAGTATCAACAGCTCTTCTGTATTTTCGTGGACTTAAGTCCCTTTTCACGTGGCTGGTCATATATCTATCAGTGGCGAGGCGTGAATGATCGATTATCGATATTTTTCTATGTGAAGCTATAGTAATGACGAATCAATTATTAAGGTGTTATTTGCGAAAATTTGTTTGTCGATCCTTTTCCGTAGGTATAAATGGCAGATGGATCGATGGATCGCAAAGTACGCCGCGCCATTGATCTTAATTCTCGTTAAGTCATTCCCACGGTTTCAAATTCATCTTTTTTCCAATACTGGGTATATGAAAAGAGA